AGAGAACTATTAATTATATATTTTATATGCATTTAAAATAATATAGTCTCGGAAGCTCAATTTACATATATTTAAATTATCATATTTAAAAATGATATGAGAGTTGCGCTATTTTATATTGGAAATTAATCAAATTAATCAATTTAATCGTTTTCCGACATTCGTGTTGCAGGGATTTGAGAGTCGGTTTACATTCAAAGGCCGACAATATGAGGAACTCGACGTTACTGAAATGGGCGCAAAATTCGACGAACAATAAAAATCAGCCAAATAAAACGGAGGTGAGTAACTCGGCTAAGTCACATATATCATAACTAGTATTAACGAATATAGTTTGCCACTGCTATGGGAAAGGTTGAAAACCATTCTCTTCTTTACAGGAACGAGTAGGAATTGGATACACCCACCGGACGCGCTCCAAAAAGGACACATCGCCTACCTAGTCAAGGTATTGTACGATTTCTATACTGCGAACATTTCCTCGTATTAGAATGAGTGTTGCGTCATGGCGTTTTTTTACATCCCATTATTTATATATATTAGTTGGCGAAGAATTTACAACGCTCGCTTTCACGATTTGCAATAAAATTCAAACAAAATATGTTGGAAATAAGGTGATTGAACATGTTTTTATATCTGGGAATTTACATGTAGACTTATTATTATTTTAAACGATTTTTTTTTATTATAGTATTAAAATTTAATTTTATTTTTTAAATATTTGAAGATATATAAGTCATTTTAAATATTATAATTAAAAAGAAATAAGTTTGTTGCGTAAGTTTCGAACATATTTTAATAATAGTCTTAATATTTTTTAAGAAACATCTCGTATCTTAAAACAATATTTATTTAATTTTTAATTTTTTATTTTTATATTTTTTATTTTTATACGAACAATACATCATCCAAATAAAAAGAAACATAAAATAATTCTAAAAATATTTTAAATTGAAAGAAATATTTATTATTAAATTTTGCAAATTTAATTACTAATGCAATAATTTATGTGATTACTTATAATCACGTATTTATTTATTAGTACAATTAT